AAATACTTTTCAACATGAATTAGCAGAGTGCACTTTTCTTTTGTTTACAATTTGGTTGCCAAACACACTACAGCTGATCGTTTGACACATTTACCAGAATTTACCAGCAAAAAATTCTCGACTAAAACTGGTAACTTCTGACAGAGATAGAACCGTATTTACTCTCTTTTTTGTCCTCTCAATAGTCAGAGAACCGAGTACGGGATCAATTTCCAGTAAAATCTGACTGATTCTGACTATACCTGACTAGTCCGGACCCGTACGGGATCGCAACTATTTATAAAATTTACAAATTGCTGATAGTATTTGCAAGCTTGTTGAAAACCTCGGCGCAAGCTTTCAATCCTTCCCCTATTGCAGTCATAGCCTGCGCAATCGAAAGGGTTGCCTCCACCTGTCTGACGTTGTTTTCTGCCAGCATCTATTGATACGAAATTTCATTAATTAATTTCCGCTAAGTTTTTATAATGATATAATAACCTTCATAGCTTCAGCTTGCTTTTGAGCGATTTCCAGAAATTTATTCTGGATATCGCTCTCCTTTTCCGCACGTTTCCTGTTTAAGTTTCTAGGTATATCGGGGAATCGAATATCAGTGCCGATGCTATCTTCAGACAGCGGCACCATACCTTCAATGTCTATGTCGTCGCCGTCCTCCATAGCTAGCTGTAAGTCCTAATAATAAAAGAAAAAATATTAATGACTCACTTTAAATACTCTTATAGAACCTTAACCTCTTCTAAAGGCATATTTTCGAACACCGACTCGTTGCCGTCGATGTAGCTGCTCCCAATGAGAGCAACCACGCGCCTCTCCAGCTTCGTCATGGGCGCCTGATCGTCGGGCATGTATCCGGTTAGAGCATGTTTCCTCTTCCGGTCGCGCACACGTATGCTAGTACGGCTTTTCAAATCCCGCCAGACCTTAAAATAAAAATATATATAAAATTATTTATTTTTTATTTATTTATTTATTTAGTTAGCCAATGAATACAATAAATATCTTATAGGCTAAGTGGAATAGAATATAATACAATCATTCGTAAAATAAAAATAAGAGAATAAACTACTTACAAAAAAGATTCAGATAATATTTCCTGCATACAAAGCCTTAAAACGCCAACATGGAAAAACTCGGGATACCGTAGAGGTCTGGCAGGTATGTTAAAGAAAATCTCCTCAAGGAGGACGAGAAAATCTACAACATCACGAACGACGTCGAAGACGAAAGACACAAGACAAAATTGTTCTCCTGCTCTGCAGGGATTTTAGATTGATCAGTAGACAACTCGATTCATAGGCGGGAACAAATTAAAACAAATGTGAAACTTTATGGTAATGTTAGACAGGGGTGTCAGAATATACCTAAGCATTCCATCATTTTTGACTGAAAAAAAGGAAAAGCACACCACGGCCAAAAATTTCGCGCGATATAGGAAAGAAAAAAGGATAATAAAAGGATATCAAGGTTGGAAAAATTTTCTGATATTAATACATTTCATTCGTTCAAGGAACTTACACTCATATGATGAACTACATATCCTAAACTAATCAAATTAATTATCAACAAGATCACATGTTGCCATCTTCGCGGACTTCCCCACCACCATCTTCAGCGTTGGCATAATTTTTGGTAAAATATTTGTCTTTTGCAGCAATTTGGCGAAGTAGTTCTGGGCTTATTGTTAAAATGTCGTTGAAGCCTACTCATCAATATTTCCTCCCATTTCGGAGCATTCTCAAGCATACTACTAGTAGGCCCGGGTAGACGTTGCACAGTGAGACGTCCCCATATAAGCTGCGGCGTTGTTCGGCACTTAGAAATGAAGAAATGTGGAATATGGCAAAATTCAACGCGCTACCACGCCCACAGCTTTTGTGGGCGGAAATAGTATATGTTATCCGATTTTGATGAAATTCAGAGCATATGCTGGCTTTAACGAGTGTTTAGGCCTTAAGCCTAAATATTTCCAAAAGGTAATGCACCACCCTAATGTGTCATTCACATATGTGTACATTTATGCATGCACACTTGTACACAAGTATATATATTACACTGTACGGCAAAATCAATTTATTTTCTGGGTATTGGACCAAACCAATTTTTTTTTAAGAGATTGAGTCATAGGTAAAAAAGTAATTTCTCCGTTTTTTGAAGTTAGCCTCCGAAATCGAGATATGGGCCTTCGAAGTTCGAAATAGGACCTTTGGGAAAAAATATATTTAATTATTGCATATAAAGAACTAAAAACCTAAACATATAGGCGTAATCCTCCTTTTGCTCTTATTTAATTGGTATATAACCTTTTTTGTGCAAACTTATATTACAGGTGCTATAAGGGGTCAAAGTGCAGGTCTTCGAAAAATTAAATTTCTTTATATTTTGAACGGTTTCGAAATGATTTTTAAAAAATGTATATCGTTGTAAAAGTGATTAAACCCCCTTTCTTTCGATATGCATATTTGTATATTTCGTATATACAAATTTTAGAAAAAACACATTTAAATGAAAAAATACCTTTTAAAAAAAAATATTTTAAACAACAAAATTACTAACCGATTTTTTAAAAATTGGGATCGTTGTAAAGACGATTAAATCTCATTTCTTCTGTTATGCATATTTGTATACTTCGTAGATAAAAATTTGAGAAAAAACACATTTAAAAAGGAAATATTTTAAACAAAAAAATTACTAACCGATTTTTAAAAGGTTGGTATCGTAGTAAAGGCTATTAAACTCCCTTTCTTCTGATATGCAAATATGTATACTTCGTTATAAATGTTAAAAAAAAACACACATTTAAATTAAAAGTACCTTTTTTTATAAAAAAAAAAATATTTTAAACAGAAATACTAACCGATTTTTAAAAAATTGGTATCGTTGTAAGGGTGATTAAACCCCTTTCTTCTAAAATGCATATTTGTATACTTTGTATATAAATTTGAGAAAACCCACATTTAAAGGAACAAATAACTTTTTTTATAAAAAAAAAAATATTTTAAACAAAAAAAATTACCAACCGATTTTTAAACAATTGGTACCGTTGAAAAGGCGATTAAACCTCCTTTCTTCTATATGCATATTTGTATACTCCGTATATAAAAATTTGAGAAAAACACTTAAAAGGAAAAAATTCTATTTTTTTTCTTACTACGCTTAAAACACTATAAATTATTTGTTTTATTTAAATACGGTATTCAATTGTATTACTAATAAGTAATTTTTTTGTAAATCTTTTTTATATAAAAAATTGGTATTTTTTCCTTTTAAATGTTTTTTCTCCAATTTTTATATACGAAATATACAAATATGCATTTAGACGAAAGGGGGTTTAATCTCTTAACAATGCCAATTTTTTAAAAATCGGTGAGCATTTTTCTGGTTAAAATATTTTTTGATAAAAAAGTTATTTTTTCCTTTTAAGTGGTTTTTTCTAAAATTTTTATTCACGAACTATACAAATATGCATATCAGAAGAAAGGGGTTTAATCGCCATTACAACGATGCTAAGTTTTTAAAAATCAACTGGTAATTTTTTTGTTTAAAATATTTTTTTTAACACCCCACTACCCACTACTTTTTGGTCCATTTTTCATGCAATTATTGATATGAAATATTAATTTATGCACGCATCTATTTTTCTGTGCAAGATAATATACAGGGTGTCCCAGAACTCAACGTCAAGCCGAAACGGGGTGACAGGATTGATTGTAACCATCATGAGAAAAATCAGAAAAAATCCTATCCCATGCAGTTTGAAAATTATGGGCATTTAAGAAAAACCCAGAAATTTGGTCAAACTGTAACCATTTTTCGGTTATTTATTTATTTATTTATTAGTGAAACAATCCTAACACAACAAGGGTAAACCTTATAATTATTAGTGCTAGTCACGACAGATTACAATTTCCAATATAAGATTTGCTTAAATATTTTAGATTACAAGTATAACCAAAAGGAAACAATCAAGTAAAAACATACAAGAAAAACGAGAAAAGTACTTACGAATTAACATTATCTGACTTAGCGCTAATATACCTCCGAAGTTCGAATCTAAAGGTGTTCATGCTACTTATAGATATTAAATTTTGGGGAAGAGAATTCCAGAGTCGAGTCACCTGCACCAAGAACTGCCTTTCTGACGTCAGTGTTTTGTATCTAGCAGCGAGTAGTTTAGAGTTTCTCACGGATTTCGTGGCAGTTATTCTAAGGGCGAGATACCCTGGTACTTTCGAGTAGTAAATTTTATGCAAAAGTAAGAGGGATCTGAACTGAAGGAGCTTATCCAGGGACATGGCATAGATTGACTCAGCAAGATGGGAAATGTGATCTCTTGCCTTTATTCCGAACGCGTAACGAGTAATATTGTTAAACAGCACATTAAGCTTGTGTTTGCACGCATAATCACAATTAGCGAAAATTTCACAACCATACAATAAAGAGGGCATAAGATATGTCTTAACTATTAAAATACGAATTCGTTGAGGGATGAAGTGTTGCGTAGACCAGAGCACTCGAAGCATTCCGTATAGTTTTCCTAAGACTACATTTATGAGACTATCCCAAGTTAATGTTTTGTTGAAGAATTCCTAGATTTTTGGCCGTCTGTACATAATTTATACACATGCCACCAAGCATGATTTTTGGAAGGGTCGAAGTATCAAGGGGCTTTCTAGAGATGACAAGCACTTGTGACTTCTTAGGGTTAAGAGTTAGTGCATTGTCGGATGCCCATTTGTTAATACGGCATAAGTTATGGTTGATTTTAACAATACAGTCGTATATATCATTGAGCTTGCAAGAACGATAAACCTGAACATCATCAGCATTGCACACTGTCGTGCGGTGCGGACGTGTTTTAGTTTTCTCCTGAAAAAGTCTTTATAATTGTGAACAAACAAAAGTGGAACTGTAGTTAAAATTCCAGTTTCAGAGAAAAACAGTTTGTGTGTTGTAGATAATATCAATATTAAATTATTATATTGGCTTTTCCACTTCGCACACAAAAATAAACTTATAAACAAAAGTGACCAAAAGCAAATAGGCAAATTTAACAAACAAAGTAAACTAAAGCAACCTTTCTATTGCTGTTGTTGCTGCCGTCGGCGTGGGTATACAAAGGTAGCTGTGTGCTGTTTTGACTTCCCGCTGTCTTGCCCACATTACAAATGCAAAAGATGCCAACTCGTGCCAGACCAACTCGACTTTCGCCAGCCAAGACACCAAAAATGTCCGGGAGTTTGCGCAATGCTGAGTGGACTGAACTAGAGTCAAAGATTGAGAGTGCAGTCAACGTAGTTGTATGTGAATCTGAGAGCCGCATCATGAAGAAGATCGATGAAGTGAGCGGTGAGTTAGCGAATATGAAGGAAAGCGTACGAGCGTTTGAAGATAGGCTAGTGAGAGTGGAGCGAAATTATGCGTTGGTTGAAGAGCTGCGTAGTGAGGTGATTAAGCTGAAGGCAAGTCTCAGGGAATGTGAGAATAATAGTATTGCTACTGATGTTATTATAAATGGCATCCCACATAAGGAGAGGTATTTGAAGATGTTTGCCGGGCAATGCAGCTGAGTACACCTTCTATGCGTGCTGTTTTCCGTATAAAAAAAAAACCCAACAGCAACAATAACAACACTGTACCGATTATAGTTAAGCTTGCGTCTCCGAATGACCGCTCTCTACTACTTCAATCGGTAGCTAAATTTGTTAAAGCGAAAGGTAGGGGAGTTACCTTGCGTGATATCGGGCAAGCGACTGACCAACGTATTTACATACATGAATGTCTTTCGAAGAGTAGTCGCGAGCTTCTTCAATTTGCGCTGCAGCTGAAAAGACAGAAACGCTTAGCGTCGGTGTTCTCAATCAGAGGGAGGCTGTTTGTTCGTGCAAAGCCCCAGACTGATGCGATCAGAGTAGCAAGCAAA